CTTCTTCATGATGGCTTCTCTCCCCCCTTGTTCTCTTCCACCCCTTTATATATCTTTTGCATAAGTGGGGAACCCTTTGTCCCTCTGGGTTTCCACCCCCCCTCACTGGAAAAGCACCAGGTTAAAGATGGATTCCAGTTCAGGTGACATGATCACATGTCACTGCAAGACTTCATTACTCACTTGCCAGCACACACATATACAGGAAGACTCACAGGTAAATACAGCCGTCTGCAGACAATGGGAGTCATCAAGTAGGGTTACCATATTTTGAGTGTCCAAAAAGAGGACACTCCACGGGGCCCCGCCCCCGGCCCCGCACCCAGCCCCGCCCACGCCCCCGCCCCAACTCCACCCATTCCCCACAGTCCCCGCCCCAACTCTGCCCCCTCCCCTGCTTCCCGCGAACATTTGATTCGCGGGAAGCCTGAAGCAGGCAGCAGGTAAGCGGGGGTGTGGGGAGGAGGCACGGCCCAGTCTGGCCCCCCCGGCGTCTCCAGCCTGGCTCGGCTCGGGCCCTGGGGTGCCGGCCCCGGGCCAGCCCCTGGCCGAGCACCCCTGTCCCAGCACCGCCGTCCCCCGTCCCAGCACCGCCGGCCCGGTCCCGGCCCCCGGCCCAGCACCGCTGGCCCCAGCCCCCGGCCCCGCATGTCCCGATTTTCCCGGACATGTTCGGCTTTTGGGGATTTCCCCGCGGACAGGGATTTGAGGCCCAAAAAGCCGGACTTGTCCGGGAAAATCCGGACGTATGGTAACCCTACATCAAGATTCCAAACCATCGTTAATGGCCCACACTTTACATAATTACAATAGGCCCTCAGAGTTATGTTTTATATTTCTAGTTTTAGATACAAGAGTGGTACATTTCTACAAATAGGATGATCACACTCAGTAGATTATGAGCTTTGTAATGATACCTTACAAGAGACCTTTTGCATGAAGCATATCCCAGTTACATTATATTCACTTATATTTTTATAAAACCATATAGACTGCACAACGTCACAGTGACTTGGGCAGTACTGACCCATTCAGAGCTTGACCAGTGGAAGGGTATGATTTGGTGAAAGAAGTCTATTTTGAAAAGCCATGTAGTTATGGAAGTTTTTGTGTATTTCAAATAATTTTATTTTTATTTTATTTTATTTTTTGGCCAGGCAAGCCTATGAGCTAGACATGTATCTGGATAATCTGAACTATGTATGGCTGTTTTAAAGGTATCCAATTTTGGTTGCCACTGTTGGTGGATGTGTACTTCTAAATGGCTAGTGAGAGCTGGGTGAGGATGCTTGCTCTGTCTGTCCTCATTGGAGTTTGAAGCCTTCTTTTTTGAGACATGCCCAGAATTTGGAGTTTATAACAAATGACATGTGATCTTAGGTTTAGGGAAATGTAGAAAATGTTTTGTTTTTCCTTTAAAAAAGCATTCTGATGTTCTTTGGAGGCCACCAGTTAATAATTATAAAAACATTTGTTACTGTAAATCTATAGGTTGCTGTTTTTTCAATATCACAATCCACATCAAAATAGCTGGTTTTTTTTAATGGAAATTTATTCAGACAGCCTAGGCATATTATAGAATTTATAAAATAGTTTGTGTTGCATTTTTCAGCTGTGGTGAACACTGGAAATTGACCTACAGTGAAACTTGTTGGACACCCTTGGGCCTCCAAAGTTTTTTGGCTCTTATAACAGGTGGCCACTTAATACAATGTGGCCAAAAAAAAAACATTCAGAGAACTTTTATTTACGCACTGCCAAGACACTTCTACTTATATAGAAAGTTAAAACAACTGAACTAATGTTCTTCACAGTAGAAAAAATCTTCAGTGTTAAATTATCTTACTTTTCTGTCCGTCTCAGGTTGTTTTCTCTTCAATTTACACTGCTGGGCAGATCTGCAGCTGTCCAGGAAACACATAAGAAAAGTGGCTGCCTGTTATAATGTGAGTAAAAATGGAGCAGATAGGAAATTGCCCAAGAACTGTTAATATTGTCCAGGGATAGCAAATAGTTGTAGATAGCAGGTTTCTGACCTCTTTTAACAAAAGGCTGAAAATACAACCCATGCCCTGTTTCTAGAAAACTACTGATGTCTTTTTTTTTTTTTAGTTGGGCTAGAAGATGAACTCAGCTGAATTCAATGATGATGATGAAGGTAAAATGCTATATCTTGTTTATTTTCTAGTCCGATAAAAAATACTAGTTGTATGAAGACTTTGTAGATTTAGATGAAGAATGCATTGAGATAAAGCAATGATTATGACAATGACTGAAAAGTTAGCTGCTAAAACATCCTATTATTATTTTTGTTACCCATCATCCTTCTCCCTCCCCCAAACTTGTGCCTACTGTACTACCTGCCTACTCACCTGCTATGTACTGTTTTTTAGGCTGTAAGCTCTTTGGGGCAGGAACTGTCATTTATTATATGTTTGTACAGTTCCTACCACAATGGTGCCCCAACTTGGGGACTTGAGGCTTCAAGGTGTTGCCATTATATAATGATAAATAATAATGACACTATTCAAAAGGCAGTTTCAGAAGAACAAACAGAAAGCACATTGTTGTAAGGGTATCATGAATTTCTGAAGGAAGTGTTTGATTGTTCTACACCTTCTCTTTTTCTAGTTAAAATTATAAAAAACAATCTTGTGAAAGTAGAAACAGAAAATGAAGATGAAGCACTAGACTGCTCCGTGACATCCAGATCTCCTGAGAAACACTCACTGGATGGCTCAGTTACTTGCCTACAGGATTCTAACAAACGGAAACAGACCTCACTTGGTTGTGATGGTTCAGGGAGCCAGCAAGAGATTTTACCCAGTGTGAAGAAAAGACGCTTTACTCAAGAGGTGATTTCTCTACCTGTGGCTATGCATGATGTACTGTTCAGATTTTATGGGCCAAATTTACTGCTGGTGTAAGCAGAGCACAACTCTTTTAAATCAGTACACACCAGCAATTAATTTGTTTATAGTCAGACATGACTATAATCTTTGCCTAGTTTACCCATACTACTTATCTGGATATTTTTTAATGATGTGAGCAGTATCCCATTTTACAGCATAAATGTTACCATTAATTGTTTTTATCTGAAGCAATTATTTGTTTCTAATAATGCTTATAAGCATGGAATTCTCATACTGGTTTGGATTAACTGGGTCTGACTGATCATAGACCCCCCTCTCATGTCCCTACAGTAAAGATTTTGTTAGTATTTTCATTAGAAATTTAGGCCTCAGTCCTGCAATCAGATCCCCATGGGTTAACCCAATTGCCAGACCAGGGTTGTAATTTTTCCAGATTATGTACAGTGGGACAGATTCTGATCTCAGTGAAACCACTCTAAATTAGAAGTTATTTGAAGTTGATACAGTAACTCCTCACTTAAAGTCGTCCCGCTTAACGTTGTTTCGTTGTTACGTTGCTGATCAATTAGGGAACATACTCATTTAAAGTTATGCAATGCTCCACTCTTACGTTGTTTGGCTGCCTGCTTTCTCCACAGCTGGCAGCCTTCGTATGTCCCGCCCGCCAGCAGATCTTGCGGATCAGTGCCTTCCCCTGCCTCCTGCCCATGGCAATCAGCTGGCTTGCAGTGTTTTGGAGGGAGGGGGGAGGACCGAGGACTTGGCGCACTGGCTCCCCCTGCCTCCCGAACGCCGCAAGCCAACTGATTGCCCTGGGCAGGAGGGAGGGGGGAGGAGCAAGGACTTAGCACACCTCCCCCCTCCCTCCCCTGCCTCCGGAACCCAGCAATCAGCTGGCTTGCGGCATTTAGAAGGGGGGGGAGGGGCGCAGTGCGAAGTAAAGGAGGAGGACATGGGTGGGGGAGACGGGTCAAGGGTGGGGGCTTGGGGCAAGGGGTGGAGTGGGCGGGCTGAGGGTTGAGCCCCCCCGCCCCTGGTGCTTGCAGAGTAGGGAAGCTGCCCTGGAACCTAACCACCCCTATTTACATTAATTCTTATGGGGAAATTGGATTCGCTTAACATCATTTCACTTAAAGTTGCATTTTTCAGGAACATGACTACAACATTAAGTGAGGAGTTACTGTAGTTGCCTTAGATTTACAATGGGGCCAGAACCTAACCCAATAACTACAGTGAAAATTTATTCTCGACTGACTCTAGTGATGAATCAGCATGTTTAGAATAAATAACCAACCACAATCTTAGTCTGAAGTTCTAACAGAACCTTCGAGAGGCTAACTTTTTTTAATACTAATGTTTTTATTTGTGCGTTCCTGTCTACTTTCCAGTTCTGGTGGTGACCAAAAGTGAAGTTGTTAAATATTTTGAGTAAGTCAGTGGGACTTGGGCTCATAAGTGCCTGATCCACTTTTGAAAATGAACCTTAAGACTTGCAATGCTGAGTGGAACAAAGCCTAAATACTTCTTAAAATCTGGGCCTGTGGTCCTAAAATATAATATGAAAGATTATTCCACAATAGCAAAATACTTACATTTCATAAAAGCTCAGCAACAGTATGTAATACAGTAGCTTCCTATGACAGTGTAGGTAGCATGGTATTATGTGCCTGTAGCTCATATAGAACAATCTGCCTTGTAATTTTTTGGTAGTACAGTAAACTGATAATCTTTTAAACTGTATATAGCATTATCTGAAATACATACACACATCTGTGCTTAAAGTCCAGGGTCCTTATGGATAATACAAAAGAATGTTCCACAATAGATTATTCTGAAGTTTCACCAAAAATACTCTGTGTGCTTCAGATAATGCTATACCCAGCTGGCAATAAAATCTGTATAGTGTCAAGATTATTACTGGAGGCAAGGAGAATGTTCTGAAGGCAGAACAAGGTATCCCAGATTAACAGAAAATGCTTAAATCTAGCCCCAGATGTGGCACTAGCTGTTAGCTGAACATTGACCGTGTGTTTCTGAAATGCAGATCTACAAATTCCTCCCACAACCAGATCCAAACATCGTGAGCTGCATTAGTGAAAGGGCAGAAGTTCTGCTGCCCTTACAGCATACAGAGATCTGCCATAATTCTCAGCGTAAGCACTTCTTTTCTTCCAAAGGACCCCATCCAACCCCAAGAATGTTAACTTTTATGTATTCATTTTAGAAGGGAAATAAGGCACTTTAGATGATGACTCCATGCTGATTAATATGCTTCCTAGGTACTGTCTTGTTCCTGCCTCTTCACTTGAGCTGAGCATTAGTCAGGACTACCCTCAGATTGTCATGTTTTATTGCTTCATTGAACACACAAAAAACCTATGGTGAAAAGGACTAACAAATGATTTGCTTATCATAACAAGCCTTCTAACAAAGATGGAGCCAAATTGTGCTCTTTGTATATGAGGATAATTTGGGGCAGTCTCTGAAGACATGAGGTTACCAGATAAGAGCAAGTTTCACCATATGTTCAAATCTCTTTATAATGTTAATTTTTTTTTAATCTGAAAAGCCAGAGATCCCTGTTCTTAATTCTGTCTGTTGTGCCTTGGTATTACTGAATCTTATAACAGGTGCTTTAGTTAGGCCACATCTTCCCACTTAACAAGGGCACTTCTCTGAAAAGTGATGTTTTGGTGTTGCTCCATGTTTATCATGTCTCATTTAGTCCATCTCAAATGTGCTTTGTTTACAAGTAAAACTGGAGAGGAAAGTTTCTAATAGCTATCCCTGCAGAATCAACTTGGATCTGAAAATCAAGCTTCTCACCCTTATCATTGCTGATAGGATTCTGCACTCTAAATTGAACCCATTAACACCCTCACTTATCACTTGTGCAACCTCATGGTCTTCAGTGGTGTTACACTTGTGTAAATGGGCAAGATGTGGCACTGCAATTGGAATTTAGCTTATTCTGGTGATGATGCATGAGGTAGAATAGAACCCAGCTTGATCTCCCCTACGTGTTTGGGCTCTGCATTGCTTATAGGACTAAAAAGTAGTGTAAACTTATTTTTGTCACTAGGGTAAGCAGATATGAGTGTGAATACACCTAGGAAGCAGATTAGCTGAGTAAGAAGGTGCTGCCATTTTTTTTACACTGTTGTTGTTCAGAGAAGATCCACAGTATAAGGGCCTGATCCTAGGACGGGACTTACAGTTGCTCATCACCTCTTAACCTCAGGCCCATAGTCTGTATTTCATTGTTTTTTAATATTTGAATGCAAGTTCTTTATTTTTTGTCTAATTAATATTCTGTCTAGCAAGCTGGGGGAAAATTCAATATGGTCAGATTCAAAATGTGTGTGTGTGTTCTCACATGCTTTTGAGTTCTGTGTATTGTAATTCTTTGTTGTTGTTCACCTACTTAATTTTCTAGGAGTTATTCACAATATCCATGTGCTTGCAAAAATAAATAAATGATGAGCTAAATATTTACAGTGAATTAATGAAAACATTTGCTTCAGAACTCAAACAATGAGGAACGGTTAGGAAATGCAGTGCTTAAAAATAATTTATAGCATGAATTCTTAAAGACTTCACTACTAACTGGTTTAGAACCATGAGGAATTCAATGAATATAAATGTCTCTGCCTTTCAGAAACAGATCATTCTACTTTCATTTTTAAAAGGCCTTTTCACTAATTATATTGGTTCTTTTTAAGTTGGGTTGGTATCATAGAGTTGTCCCTGAATTGGACCGCTGGGGGTAAATACTTGCATACATTTTTCAGAGCAAAAGGAGAAAAAATTAACACACCTGTCAAGGCTGTTGGACCACAGTGTCCTCCTGGGGTGGTAATAGGGAGACTAATGAAACATTAAAATACAGTTGGGGGAGCAGTGAGGTTGTGGCTAGGTCACAGGATTCGGAATCAGAAAACATCAATTCTGTTCTTGGCTCTGTCACTGACTTACTTTCACTCAACCTCTCTGCCACCCAGGTTCCTCAGACACAAAGTGGGAGGTAATGATAGCATTTAAAGCTCTCTGGGTAAAAATGCTAAGTATTATAATTGTATAGTTATTGCATAACAGAGGTCATGAACAAAGAAGTAAAATAATACTTTTCCTGTAAAGCATGTTTGGTGATTGTTTTCCTTCAATACATTTATGAACTTGATTTATATAGCACAGTTGGGTTCATTGATGAAAATTAGGCAGTGCATATTTATTTAATGACACCTACCTGTGGAACACAAATTTGTAGCTATTATTTTAAAGCAAACTGTCTTACTAATACAACGTTTGTTGATTTATAGGGCCTCGTTTCAAACATGAAGAACCGAGATATTGGGTCACCCACTCAGGTAAACGTAGAGCAGCCTAACAAGAACAAGAATCCCAATATAACATGGCTGTGTGAAGAAGAACCCTTCAATGACGTGACCACTCCATCCTATAAGAAACCTCTGTATGGCATCTCACACAAAATTACAGAGAAGAAGAGCACACCAGGGGCAGAGCAGTTTTCTTCTTATGAGCTATTTGAAAAGGTCAATCCAAGCAGCCCCTCCCATCTGCGGAATTTGAGTGATCAACGCAAAAGGGATTCTGCTGCTACCATCGCTGTTACAGCTTCCACCGCAGATTCTGATCCAAACATATATTCTTTGATACAGAAAATGTTTTACACCCTCAACACCCTGAATTCCAATATGTCTCAGCTTCACAGCAAGGTTGACCTGTTGTCTCTTGAGGTCAGCAGAATTAAAAAGCATGTCAGCCCAACAGAGTCTGTAGCAGAGTTCAGGCCTCCCCCCGAGTACCAGCTAACCGCTGCAGAACTCAAACAGATCATGGATCAGAGCACATCAGGTGGAGATTTGGCTTGCCGGTTACTAGTTCAGCTTTTCCCAGAGCTCTTCAGCGATGATGAGTTCAACAGGAGCTGCAGCACATGTGGCTTCCTTAACAAAAAGAAGCTTGAATCGCTTCATCTGCAGCTTATCCGAAACTATGTGGAAGTTTGTTATCCTTCTGTGAAGAATAATGCTGTGTGGCAGGTGGAGTGTTTGCCCCAAGTTAATGACTTTTTCAGTAGATTTTGGGCACAAAGAGAAATGGAAAATAGTCAGCAAAGTGTGCAGTCATCCAGTTTTTATGAGTCTGAACAGGTAGAGTCCTCTCATTTCATTGAGGATAAAGAGCAGGAGGAAGCTTTGTCCCTGGACAGGGATAATGCCACCACCTCAGATTATGTTCTAGATGCTCAGGATCTCAATGAATTTTTAGATGAAGCTTCATCCCCTGGGGAATTTTCTGTGTTTTTGTTACACAGATTATTTCCTGAGCTCTTCGACCACAGGAACCTGGCTGAAAGATATAACTGCTATGGAGATTCTGGGAAGCAAGAGCTGGATCCTCATCGACTTCAGATAATTCGAAGATACACAGAAATTTACTTTCCTGATGTGCAGGAAGAGGAGGCGTGGTTGCAGCAGTGTGCACAGCGAATAAATGATGAACTTGAAAGTATGTATATGGATGGGAGTGAGTGTGAACAGATGAGAGACGACTGCTATGATTCTTCTAGTTTGCCTGATGATGTATCTATCATAAAAGTGGAAGACAGCTTTGAATATGAAAGGCCAGGAAGAAGGTCAAAAAAGATTTGGCTTGTGCCCATAGACTTTGATAAACTTGACATTCCCCCTCCCGATTTTGATGTTCCTATCCCGGATTACCTGTTGAACAAGGAACAAATTAAAAATATATATGAAAGCAGTCTGTCCATAGGAAACTTTGCATCTCGATTGCTTGTTCACTTATTCCCTGAACTGTTTACTCATGAAAATCTAAGGAAGCAATACAACTGTAGCGGATCACTAGGCAAGAAACAACTTGATCCAACCAGGATTAAATTAATTCGACATTATGTGCAAATATTGTACCCAAGAGCAAAGAATGATAGAGTATGGACATTGGAATTTGTTGGGAAGCTTGATGAGAGATGTCGACGCAGGGATACCGAACAGAGGCGCACATACCAACAGCAGCGGAAAGTTCATGTTCCAGGGCCTGAGAGGAGAGAATTTCTTACCTATGCAATAAACCCAGAAAGATTCAGAGAAGAGTTTGAAGGGCCACCACTGCCGCCAGAAAGAAGCAGCAAAGATTTTTGCAAGATACCACTTGACGAACTTGTCGTTCCTTCTCCAGACTTCCCTGTGCCTTCTCTGTACATGCTATCTGATAAAGAGGTAAGAGAGATAGTACAGCAGAGCCTTTCTGTGGGAAACTTTGCTGCCAGGCTTCTAGTAAGACTCTTTCCAGAGCTCTTTACTCCAGAGAATCTCAGACTGCAATATAACCATTCAGGTGCTTGTAACAAGAAGCAACTTGATCCCACCAGACTCAGATTGATCCGTCATTATGTTGAAGCAGTTTACCCCGTGGAGAAAATGGAAGAAGTGTGGCATTATGAATGTATACCGAGCATTGATGAAAGATGCCGGCGTCCCAACAGGAAAAAGTGTGATATACTGAAAAAAGCCAAGAAAGCAAAAAAGTGACAGGCTCTCTAAATTCTTCAGACTTTGACCTCTAAATTATTTGGGAAGAGCATATTTTGTTCTAGTCTGGGAGCCTGATCTTACTATGGAATCTAAGGGAGATCAGCCCCTAGGAATATTGGGCGCTAAGATTGTTACTTTTTAATATGTGTGTTGCACATATAAGGGCACTGCAACAGTGGGAAGTGGTTTACTGCATTTGTACATGATAAAGACCATAAGTGATCAGTGATGAAGTCACTAATGACTCATTAAGAGTATGACTTTCGCTGGTGCAAATACATGTATTAAGTGTATTCGTCCTCTCCCCACTTTTGCATCTTCCATTTTTATCACTTTTTTAATAATAAAAAAAACTTTTTAAAAATCATTGTGCTCTTCGGGGCAGTTTTGCATTAAACCCTTTTAAACATCAAGGTTAAATAATTTGGAATCTGAATTATTTTTTAACTTGCAAATTTTGTTTTTGAAAGTGCCATGTTCATTGAGAATGATTGAAATATCAGACTTGCTTACTACAGTAATTACAGTTATCCCTTTGTTTTGTTCTTGATGATAATGAAAATAACACGAGGTCAATACTGGGTCAAATGTAATTTCCTTTTTGACTGTTACCAATGTATTATTTCCATTGCTATAAGAACTAAGACTAGATTAGACACAATGTGTTTTTACGTTGAGACCGTAGACCTGATCCTTCACTCTTACTCATGTAAGTTATTTCATTGTCTTCAATATGACTACTGGGAACTGCTTCAGTGAATAGGGTTACAAAACAGAATCAAGCCCTTTACCAGCAGAATGTGTTGATATTGCCTGTTAGTCTCTCTCTTTTTAGAAAAAGTACTTGAAACAAGGAATGTAGAAAAACATTTAAGTCCTTATTCTTCATCAGAATTATGATTCCAAAGTTTCCAGTATTAAATCAAATATTTAATAAGCAAAAGGTAAATACAAAGATTTGATTCTGTGGTAGAATTGAATCCCCCTTTGAGCTGTGGTGATATGGTGTGTTTGTGTGAATACAGCACAACCTGGAGTCTCCGAATGTCATAGGGATATTGAAAATTCCTTTGATTATCCAAATTGATTTAGTGTAATTAATAGCTATCTGGAAATGTAATCTTGTATGATTAACTTAGGTTCAGATGATCAAGATTGCATTGTTAATATGATCAGTTATAATGAAGAACATCCTAACTCCATTCTGACTTCACAGTTTCTGATCTGTCCTTGGAGAGTGCTGCATTAAAATCAGAACCTGATTTTCCTCTCAATTACATTGCTCTAAAGCAGGATGTCCGTTGATGTCAACGGTATGAGAGAATCAAGCCTTCCATTAGATGTTAGTCATGGCAATGATCATTTAACACTGACCATCCCTTGAACATCTTGAGATTTGTTGAGGTTCTCTGTGGTCCTCTTTTGTTATTTATTTAGATGGGTCATAGTATCACATTTCAGTTAAGCCCCAGTGTAAATTTCTATTTTAGCAATTGTATTCAACTACAAAATACTTGATATTTTTACTTCATTTTTTTAGAATTTACTGTTCTCAGAATCATGTTGACCCCTTCCTTTTTAAAAAAAATAATATTTTTTTCTAATGGCAAGAATTAGCAGTTATTTTACAGTGTTAAAGCAGTAGTAAGTCACAGTAGATAATAGAACTCACACATTTTCCCCTATGTGCTAGCAACATCCTAAAAGAATGTATGATGAGAGTCTTGATTGTACTGAATAATCTAATACTGTTTAAATTCACTTACATGTTTCCTGTTGGCATAAGTAATAGCAGAATATGCGCAAAATGGATATCAGCGCAAATATGGTTATAAATAAAGTGAGAACATTTTACCAAAGATAATGAACTTATACCACAATGTCTGCATCCTACCTTTAATTTTAGTACATATTTTTAGCAAACTGAATATATCAGAAATGCAAGGTTTTTTATAATTATATGCTACCTAGCACCTCTTTGTGAACTATTATACATGCGCTTTTATGGGCTATATAAAATGTCATGAAAATGGTAAAAGTCTTTTAATTTAGAGTTGAAAATGGCTAGCATGTATTCTGCAGCCCAAAAGGTAAGGAATGTTATATGCAGATTTTCCTTATGGTTTATTTATCTTAATGTCACATTTGTTTCAACAATAAAGTATGTCAGATCCTGTTGAGGACTTCAACATATCTTAAACTTGTACATGGTTGGTAAAGAGATTATATGAATGTATGGAATTTTCTACCACAACATACAATTTTAAGATATATTGACATTTTCAATGAGTTTTGATATTCATTTGGTACATTTGGCTTCATAAGGCAACCAAATGAATCTATTTATATGACACAATGATCAATATATGAGGGGTTTTATTTAAAAAAAAATACATTATCAAAAATGGACATGTAATAGCTCAACAGAAATGGTCTTTTTTCTCAACTTCTGGTCAAATTATTGTAGTCTGCTTATATATTATATATTCTTCTGATTTGATTGTCTTGTTGGATTGCCTACAATCCTTTTATGACCTAGCATTCTTTTGAAAGGCAGTTTGATATAAAGGCAATATACACATGAAAAGTGACAGCTTGCAAAGGAAACTTGTTGAGGTGCATTTGGAAGTGAATTCATCCAATTGGTCAAGTAATGAAATGTATATGTTGTTACAAAAGAAATGCTGGCTCGTGATTGGCTATGAACAGACTCATAAACTGTAAGTTTCTATTATTGAACTTTTCTAAGGTCTGTTACTAAGATCTGGAGTAACATTAAGCAGTCAGACTGAATACACAAGTGAGGGCATCTTGATTAGCTGCAACTGCTCTAATGTCATCTCCCTTTTAGAATGTTATTTTAAAAGGACAAACAGTTACTGATTTCAAACTTAGGCTATCTGGAGAGATTCCCAGATATTAAATTAAAACATTCAGAACATATGTAGTCATACACACACTGATTTCATATTAACTATACATGGTTTTACTTCAGTAAATCCTGTTGAGATGAATGTCAAAAGTCTAACTTTAATATAACACCTTTGGTAAGTATTAAACAGCTCTCTCCTACAGTGATTCTAAAGGAAACAGCATAGTATTCAATGACTCTATATTTTCTAGTGTGACTGTCAGAATTTTCCCAACAGAAAAAAGAACTGCAAGCCTGCTAAGAAATTAATGTAGTTAACCTTTTTTTTTTGGGTGTCTCACCAATTTCACACAAATGAAACACTTAACTAAGGAACTGTGCAAGGGTTTAAAATATATATATTCTTTTCTGAAATTTGAAGGGGAAAATGAAACTACTGCTTAGAAGTTCTTGCAGTTATCCAGGGAATCTGGCAACTGTATTAGCAGGGAAATGCAAATAGCATATTTTCATGAGAGAAAAATACTTCCTATTTGAAAGGATTACATTTGATTACTATTAAGAGTAAGATGTAGCCCTGAGCATTTTGTCATAATTTTGTGTTATTATGAATAAAAAAGTACTTGATCATCTTAGGAAAAATGTTCAGAAGCAGTTCTATTTTTCTATCTTCAAGTTAAGATAGTTTGTATATCAATTTTATTTCTGAGTGCATTTCTTTTAAATTCAGCCAAGTCTTGTTTTACTGTTGTGTAATACTTTTGTAACAGTGGTGCCCAGAGGTCCCAATCAGGATCAGGGCACTCTAGTGCTCAGTACTGTACAAACACATGAAGACAGCACTGCACTGAAGATCTTGAAATCTAAGAAAAAAATTGAGGATAGTTCAAACCTCTGACTTTAGGAGTAAGTCACTGAAATTTTGGGATTGCCATTGACACAACTTATGTATTGTTTGGATGCTATAACTTTCTTTTTCCAAGTCAGTTGTTTTCATTGTTACCACTATTCAGTTGGCTGCTAATGCAAGTATAAACTTTTTCCATCAGTATTCCAAAGACACTTATTTTTTTAAAGCATGTTTTGGGTGCTTTTACTGCAAATCTGAACCCTGTTTTTGCTCCCTTCCCTAACTCCATGCTCCCACATGATTATCATCCATTCCTGGGAATCTCTTCTTCATGTTGGGCACTACTGCCTGTCCATGGACACTGGTCCTACAGACACATTTCAGTTATGGATCAGCTGTCTACCATCTCTCCACCTTGGCACATAAGGTGTACCGTGTGCTTTCATTACCTAGCCACAGCAAATCTGAGGAGAAAACTTCAAGATCTGCCCTACAGTGCTTTCATAAACTTCATTTTGTTTCTCTCGCCCCACAAGACCCATTCAAATAAACCTATCATTAGCAGTGAGATTCTTCTTAATTTCTTATTAAAATAAATTATTCTAATAGTAAAATGTTAGTAATTATGTTTGTTTAGGATAGGATTATACAACTCCTATTCTGAGTAGCTGTCAGTAAGCATATAATTAGTTCCCTCTCCCTACAGAGAGCTGTCCCTGGATTACCATGTCTAGATCAGCAACCCAAATGCAAATAATCTGTAACTAATAAAGATAAACCAAGTTCCATCATACTCCAAGGACTTGCTTTTTCTAGCTTTACCTCACCTGGTTGCCAGGATCTAGACTCCCACCTCACACATCTTTTCATACATCTTCCTTATTCAGATCTATATGCTCTCTTCCGAAGGTGACTTCGTGGTCCTTTGAGACTTGACCTGCTGCTGCATGGACAGAACTTCTACTTGTCCCAGTTCCTGCCCTATCGCACAATGTGACCATGGTTCATGTAGCAATTTTTCTCCTTTAGTAACCATTCTGAAAGGGAAACCTTGATTGTCATTAGAGAAGCAGAGCTTATAAAAGGGATCCCCAAGAAGTAGAATGGCCGGGGGACTGATTTTTTTTCCTGTGAAAATTTTTGATAAAACTTACATTTGTTTTAGTCAAACTTTTTCTGTGGAAATTTTCAAATTTTTATCTAAAAACCTTTTCAATTTTCAGCAACCAAAACTGAAAAAAATGCAATTGGTCAGGTGAAATGTTTTGGTAGAAATAAAGAAAAAGAAAACCTTCAAGACATCCCAAAATTTTGTTCTTCGGTTGCTGAAAACCACCACCAAAAAAAAAAAAAAAAAAAATCCAAACATGTTGACTGCCAAAACCTAAAAATAGCCATTTTCTGTTAAACTTGAATGGAAAAATTTCTACACACAAGTGTTTTATATTGGTCTGGTACAGTGCTTTGGTGATTCTGCTGAGCTTCCTTCTCTTTAAGGTGATCAGAGACAATTCTTCAAAAATCCCTTTTGTCCTTGCACTTCCAAAGGATAGTATCAGTTCATTAACTGAGACTTAATTGGCACAAAAGTGAGAGAGAGAGAGAAAAACCCTTCAGGTATCTGTCAGAGGTGGATATGTGCCGTCCAGAACAGAATTATGCCGGGTGTTTAGTTTTGATTCCCTAAGTGGGATCCAGGGGCAGATTGCTATGTAACATGAAGCCATCCCTGCTCTCTCTCTTCTAATGCTCAGATGGCGGAGAACAGCTGGACAAGTATATCCTTAAGGTGAAACCCTATTGCCATCTGAGCAAACAATACCTGTTGTGCACTGTCTATGCAGAGAATTTCTTCCTCCTGTTCCCAGAAGCTCTCTTCACACAGTTTCAATATCTTTAAAAGTTTTCCTTTCCTATCCCTTCAGGGAAGTCTTTTTACTATGTCACTGTTCCAAATCATCCATTTTAGTTCTAAATTATGCGTTATGATAGACCCAGACCAGTGGGGTACAGGAGTCTGGTACAGGGCAAATATACTGGTCACTGGATGAGTAGTTTTCTGTTCTCTGAGTGACCAGAGCAGGCTGCACTAGAGTAATCAGGAACCTGCTAGAACCAGTTAAGGCAGGCAGGCTAATTAGGACACCTGGAGCCAATTAAGAAGAAGCTGCTAGAATCAATTAAGGCAGGCTAATCAGGGCACCTGGGTTTTAAAAGGAGCTCACTTCAGTTTGTGGTGCGAGTGTGAGGAGCTGGGAGCAAGAGGTGCAAGGAGCTGAGAGGGAGACGGAGTGCTGCTGGAGGACTGAGGAGCACAAGCGTTATCACACACCAAGAGGAAGGTCCTGTGGTGAGAATAAGCAAAGTGTTTGGAGGAGGCCATGGGGAAGTAGCCCAGGGAGTTGTAGCTATCATGCAGCTGTTACAGGAGGCACTATAGACAGTGCAGTCCACAGGGCCCTGGGCTGGAACGCGGAGTAGAGGGCAGGCCTGGGTTCCCCCCACACCTCCCAATTGACCTGGACTGTGGGTTCTTCCAGGGGGGAAGGTCTCTGGGCTGTTCTCCAACCCACATGGTGAATCTCTGAGGCAAGAAAATCCACCAATAAGCGCAGGACCCACCAAGATAGAGGAGGAACTTTGTCACACTGGTGTCAGGAGTGGGATCTTGGGGTGCACAGCGTGGTTGAAGAAGGAGGGTGATTTTAAAAAAAAAAAAAAAGGTTTATTTTTTTT